CGTCCCCGGGCTTTTCGTCTTCTCTCGTCTCCTTTCTTTTCTGTCTGTCCGTCGACCAACAACGTCTCTTACCCATCGGCGCCATCGCCACTCCGTCGATGACTTTGACCTTTCAACCCCCGCTTCTCGAACAATTCATAAGAATTTCTAAATCCTTTTTCTTCTTTCTTTTCGATATACAATTGATTGTTCGTAATCCACGAAAAGGCATACTCTTGTATAGGTATTTCATTGATCGTGGATAAAAATACACGGTTGGATTTACGTAACGACGGTTGTTACCATAAATTTTTCACCGAGACTTTTCGTGTTGTTCCGTAACGTAAAGGTGGCACGCGACCACCGAGTGGATTGCACGATAAAAATTTGACTTGGACGTATTATACCGGCTGGCCTTGCCTCCGAACTCTTTTCTTCCATCGTTAACGCGAAACACGGATGTTCAATTTTCTTAGGAGTATCAAATTCTATAGGACACACCTTGATACTCTATAAAAGCAAAGTCTAGAATCCTCTAAATCTTATAGCGATCCGAAATTACCCAATCTCTATAAACTCTTATCTCTCTTATGGAAGCTGAGGTGAAGCGATGAAGAAACATGGCTCTAAATGCCATGGAGCCCAATGCTAAAGTAACGACGGTGAAATTCTCTCGCGACTGGCCGATCGAGCGACACGTCCATTAAGAATAGCACAAGGTGGACTTAAATATCCGTGAGGGCCTTCGCCGTGCTGAGCACCTGACGCACGCACGCGCGGGTAAAATAGGCTTAATCTCTTTGGGCAAACGTGTGTGCAGAGTGCCGACTATCGCCAAATATTGACGCGTTACGTTAACGGTCGTCTGACCGGTGAAAACAGCCCCGAGAAACGTTCACCGTCTCTTCCTGTTTCCTCTTATCTCGGCACATTTTTCTCCCTCTATCTTTAAAGATCTTGAATCGACGTTCTTCTCTCGCCGACTGGTTCTACCTGTCGGATAACAACGTTGATAACGCCTTCTTTTCTTTTCATTTTTTTCTTTTTTTATGATGTTTGAGTTTCTTTGACTCGTGGGATGTTCACTGTTGTCTCTCTGTTGTTTGAATAAGAAGTGTTAAATTCTTTTCAAGAATCCTTGCAGATTCCCTGGGAACGCGAAGTGGTGTAAATCTTCTTTTCGAAGAATAACTTGAAAGAACCTTGACCCTGGTGACGAGCGAATGATCGTGGCGAGATTTTCTGTTGGCACGACGGAATTCCAATCGTAGAAATTCGATCTACGAGAGATATCCGATGGCCGTTAGGTTGTTTCTCACGTGTTCGTTTTCCCCCTTCCACGATCGGCGAGGAAATTTCAATGATCTCGCGAAATTCGGCGCTATCGGTCACGCCACCCGCCGCGTCCGCACGCTTCGAAATCCGATCGTGAGTGGCCGGTGGCGGCGCGTGAATCGAAAAAGCGACGCATGCCAGTCGAACGCGGCACGGTTTTACGTCGATAGGGCTGTTCGTTCTCCTAGTGTCGCGTTGGCCACGGGAACGATCGCTTTTCGGTTATGTCGATTTCATTCGTCTCCTTCATCTCCGTTCTACTCTGTTGGCTGTTCCTCCTACCGATCAGCCTCACCTTCACCGGCTCCCAAACGAAAAACACACTTGCCACCAGTGAGTACATTTACGATTCTCATCAATTCTTTGTTTCCGCCTGAGGGATACGGTCTAACGTGCGCCGGTAGGTAGGTAAATCGTTGAATGGAAACGGCTTACGTGCGATTAAAGTTGTGATAAAATATCGATTGTGGTGTAACGTAATTAAAAAAGAATTAGAGTGCTGTGAGTTGGCTCGATTTTGTCAAATTTCACAATTGATGATCAGAGGGTATCGAGGTAACGAAATAATACAGATTGAAATTGAAATTACATTTTATTTATAAATGAGTTTCGTTAATTAGTGATTTTGATAATTATCGTGTCTAATAATAATAATTGAATTTTGGAAGCTTTGCGTGTAGAACAAGCGACCTACTACTTAAGTACGATCGGTCGAGTTTACGTTTGGTTTATTTTTCTAGGAACATTCGTGTCCATTAGAACTTCCAAATAATACATTACTCCGTCTCCGATCATTATTACCGAGTGCATGAAAGAAACTCCAGCAACATTAATATGTACGCCTGTCGTGAAATATTTAGAAACTGGCACCGAGCCATTACCGATCTAATTAAATATGAATAGCTTCGATTGAACTTTCCAGGAAGTTCAGTAGTCCGTAAGAAACTTCTGTAAATCGCGAATCACGTGTTTCAGCAAGGTTCTTTCTGTAGAAAACGTTCCATGAATGAGTCTTCGCCACCCTTCGATCGATCCAACGAACCAGACCAATTACCTCGCGAACCGAAATTTTCCTTGCATTCGTTTCTATTCGCCACCGAGACAATAATCGGCGACGTCTGTCCGTATGTCTGTCGCGTGATGCAGACGAAATTTCCACCCCCGCCTGAGGGAAACGGGCATTTCTTCCGGGAAGTCCCAACGACCGCGTCTGGCTCTTCGGGTTACGTGCGTATCTAACGAAATTCATCGACGTTTCCGGGGGTTGTTTCAACGGGCTGTGTGCGTGGAACGCTTTCAACTCCGTGGATCGATGGGGTCGTGCAACACGAGCATGGCTTTCCCTATGCTGGACACACGCGGCTTGACCGTCGCGCAATATCGATTCGACCGCAGTTCCTGGCATTCGTCCACGCGAATCGTTTCTTTCGTTTCTATTTACTTGCTCTCTCTGTGAATGAAAATTGCTCACCACCCTCGTGTACACCGCCCTTTTAACCCTTCCGTCAGGACAACGTTCGATGATAAAGTGCTCTGTAGGGATGTACGGTCATTGTAAAACCTTTCGACTCGTACAACATCTACGATTATTGTATTCATTTTCCTTTTGCTTAATATTTTTTTTCATATGCAACAGGCGATCAGTATCGAGTGACTATAATAATCTTCAATTTTTAAAAGTATCTTTTTAAAAAACATACTCCTCTCGTTGTCATATTTGTCAAGGTTGCAATCAACCGTAAAAGACCACCTAAAGATCACCCCAAAAGGGCAACCAATCAAACGACACAAGACTCTATCGTATTCAGTCATGCTCGTCAGCCCACGATGAACTTGACACCGGTGTCAGCAGTCGTTTCAGTCAATCCTCAGCCGGAAGCGATCCATTGGACAAACACCTGGTACATCGAAGGATCTTAAGAATCTATTCAAGCTCATTAATCATCATTATTTGCAGACGTCGCATCGATCAATTGCCGAGAATCATTTACAGAGATGTACATCGTGCTCCACCCTTCGTTCGTCTTCGTCGCCCGTCTAACCGAACGATAATACCGCGTACGGTTCAATAGCGGGCGTCGCGACGCCCGGCAGTCTGCCACCGTTTCGTTCCATCCTGTTTCGTTCGTCGTCGCGCACACAGACGTACGTACGAACACAGTGAAAGAGAGTTTTCGGACGCAAGAAAGCGTGTACGGTGGCGCACGACGGTCTTAGATGAGCATAGGCGACGCCTTTCGGAAATTCGAAGACGGTTCGTTAACCCCTCAGATCCGACGACCAAGCGACGCCCATGAACTTTGACTGGTAATATCGTAAAGGAATGAGAGGAGGTAATCGAAATTCTTCGACCGATAGTCGTTCGCATTTGAAAGTTGCAAAACGAAGATACGAACGCTAAAATAATCTTCTCCCGGTACGTTCAATGGTACAGCCAGGGAATTAGCGGTCAAAGAGAAAGATTTACCACAGGGCACCCAATAAAACAGCTACGTCGATGGATCAAAGATGCGAGAAGCACGCGTTCGTTGCAGAACGCTTTTAGCCGGGAAAGCGAGCGTGCCCACCGCCATTAATTTACCGGACTATTTGGCCCGATTAATGCACGCTCGCAAAATCCCGCGATTGTTCTCCTGCTCGAAAACGGTACAGGGATATTCCATGGTGTTTGTTTCTGCTGCTTGCTCGTTACGCAATTAAAAAGGAACCCTCGATCCTCTCTTCTCGACCGTTTCAACCCGAGGAAACCGATTCACGGACCGTTTTAGAAACGGCTGGCTGCGTTGTTTACGTCTTGTTGTTGCAGTTACCTTCGCGGCTCTTCAATGGTCCGCTTGATTCGTCACCGAGCAACAACTGAATCGCAGTCAATTAGCATTCAAGTGTCTCTGGAATTCGCATTTTAACGAAGTGCCTTCCTTTTTCTTCTCTTCCGTTCGTTGGAACAAACCGAAAGGGGTAAAAGGCTTCTCTCTCGAAGCTTTCACAGCTCCGCGAGGGGTTAATGCTATTTTCAGCTTTCGATTCTTTGCTTTGACTCTTCGATTCTATTATCCCGAGTTAGACCAAATGAAATACATTTAGGAACATTAATTTTTCAACGAAATGAAACTTATATTTTCAGAACAATCTTCGAATAATCGAAGTGTTTACGAGGGGGGTTTTGTAGGGGATAAAGAATCGAGGAAGGAGTTTCAGGGAATGAAGGAAAAGTGAGGAAAGACCGATAACGAGCGTCGACTGAGTAGAGTCGATCGATAGTAGCACGTTTCGAGAGGACTACCTCTGCTGCCTCTTCTTTTTTTTTTTCCTTATCTTCGTTTCTTCCGTCTCTACCCTCTGCTATTCTCTCGACGATAGTCGATGATGGATGCTCCTGCTCGAATGGCTCTTAGCATTTTTCAGGGGGACAGAGAGTGGAAATACGCCATTGAACTTTATTGCTGTTCGAGTGGGGACTCTGTTCACTCGAGCTGGCTCGAGCCAGGGAAAGGGGTGAAAAGTGGGCTTTGGCAAATCGTTTGCCAATCTGACATGATGGAATCTCGAGATGTCGGCGATTTTTGTACGCGTGTAATTTTCACCCAACTCTCCTCCTTATTTATTAATATAGGGTTAAAATAATCCTATCAACGCTACGATTAATTGACAATCGTCTAACGAGCTACGATCTGGTTTGCTTTCAGTGTCTGGCACGGCAAACAAGAAAGCGGAAGCGGCGCCGGAGGTGGGGGCCAATGTTGGCGTCACAAAAGAGACTTCCGGTGTCCCGGCCACGAGGCCCAGAACTGGCAGCGATCCTGGAGGAGGTATAGACCTGTTGGCAGCGTTACAGCTGCACAATACAACCCGACAGGGTGTTACAAAGGTGCCAGGCCTAGTTAGGTTAAAGTCAGCCTATTATCTTCAGGGTGAGTCGTTTGTCAAAATATTTTATTCAATAGCGTTTAATAATTTCATTTCTGAAATGATAAAACGAAATAAATAAAATTGCAACGGTTCGAATTACCCGGTTGCTGTACCGACATTACTCATATTACCCTGTGGGGGTGGAAGGGTGGTGATGAAACACGATGATAAATTATTTCGTACAATTTACATTGGTATTGCGTGCAGATTATACCGGGGGGCAGTAAATTTCGTGACGAGCGCAGAACCGAAAAGCACTTCGCGAGGGTTCTCTTAACCCGAATATAGCCTTATTTGCATATCAGAGAGGGTCGTTTCTAACACCAGCTATCTTTCCTAACCGCGGTGACTGGTAATCATTGCTGGCAATAAGCTCGATTATTGCTTTTCGTAAATCGCCATCAATTTCCTTGTCTATTTTTTGTTTCGTATATCGAGACACGAAATAACATATGTGTGCACGAAACATATTGGAATTTCGATGAGTCCGCTGGGGACGGAATAGAGGGTTGTAAGCTTTGAAATATTCAATGAAACGTGCAATTCTTTTTGAACGAATCTCGACTCGTAAATTCAAGTGTTGTTCGATAAACACTCGAGAGAAATAAAAAGTATTTTATCGGCTCGAATGTTTGATCCCTCTCGAAATTTCACCATCGGTTCTCTTTCCATTCGATCGGATCCAATAAATCCTTTTTTAATGGCTCTCGAAAGAGTCACTTCTGTCGGTAAAACCGCCACAAATAGCGTTTCGTTGTTCGAACCATGAAAGTGATCAACTAGAAAAACAATTGGCGCTTATCACGGTACACGATGGTTACATAACGACCGATTAATCGATATTGTGAAAGGTCAGTTTTATAGCCCTGTCTCTATTGGTAGACCAGAGGGAATTCCCCAGTTTTATTACCTGTCTTTTCCAGTTTCGCAAACTGACAGAATTTTTGCGAGATAAAAATTAAAATGAAATTTACAATTCATCGTGCCACCCGTATTTGTTTGAGATTCTTCGATTTAATATGTATCGAGGGATAGAATCCAATAAATAGATTGCAACGCGTGCAAAATAAAAGGTATTCACCGCGTAGCATCGTGTATCCAATTTAGCTTCAACCCCCGTAAACGTTGCACTCTACCGTGACGATGAACAGGGGGTTGCAAAAGCGTGGGCGACGGTGCAACGTCCGCGAAAAGCGACGAGAATACGGGGGTGGTTGGCCCAAGGGTAATCGTCAGCAGGGCTTTCCCCGAACGAAATTTCAATTACCTAACCCATACCACCCTGCACACCCTCTGTCGATGGTTTCATAGAAGTTACAGAACATTCTATACGCTTTTCAACTCCCTCCTACTGGACTCAAATTACAAATTCTTTTCCTACGGAAATATTTATTTGAATTCAACTTTGAATATTTGCAAAGTGTGAAAAATAATAATTGCGACAACACGATCAGAGAAAAATTAATCCAAAATCTATGGAAAAGACTCATTTAAAGAAATTCGAAGAGAAAGATATTTATTCCACTAGAGGGGTGGTTTCTAGAAATTAGATCACGGATGGATGATCAAAGAGAGGAACCTTTTCGAACCGACATTAATTTACCATCTGGGAAGATGGTCGGGCAGAAAGTTATTCGTTTTGGAAATAAACAGACTATAGATGAAATCAAGCAATCCCCTAAAGAGAGGGAGAAGAGCCAAGGGGTCACCCAATTTCAGGACCAACGGTGCTGTTTCCCTATCCAAGTACAAAAGGGGATCGCGAAATCTTGTTTTCCATGTACGGAGAAAAGTCTGGACACGTGTCCAATGTATATACTCGTCCTTTGTTCGAGGAGAATTACAATGGCTTCTATCGCGAGCCTCTAGCAATTTCAACGTGTTTCCTTTTCCATTGATCATCTGTCAGGGACGATATTTATTTATTGGTAATGCATCACTGAGAAAATAGAAATCTATGGGGAACGGTTCGCAGTTGTGAATGATAACAAAATTGTATTTTCTATAACAACTATTTATTGAGTTCAGTTTCATGGTTAACAAAACTGCAACATTTTCTTTTCATCGTTAAGCACTCGAATTTCCCTTCGACACTTTCCCCATTTCTCCATCGTATCCTCCCAGTTAAAAAGAAATTTCGATACGTGTGCCACTTGACGAAGAACGATTACGACACGGCTGGTGGTTGTGGACGGTTTCCGTTTCGTCCATTACATCCTAACGAAGCGTGGACGTGGATAATTAGCGTTGAATGTGTTCGATGGTCCTCGAAGTCACGTTGGGCGGCTCGTTGTGGACCCTTCCGATGGTTTCCAGTTACTTTATTAAGCTCGCGGCGTGGCTGAAACTCGAGGCTCGCGAGGAGAAGCCTGGCCAGCGCAAGGAACGTGTGCACCTATGGCCAACCACCTTTTTTTTTTTTCTCCTTGGCTGCAGTTGCAGCAGGATCATGCTCGTAGATTACACGGTTCAGTGGCGCGACAAGTCGAAGCAATTAATGTCGCGACGTGCGTGTTTAATCGAAGGACAAGGAGAAACTTTATCGCCTGTGTTTGATGCGACCTAATGGTGCACAGTTTGTTGCATACACCGGGTGTAGTGTTACTGTTGCGGGACCTTTTTACCTTTGTTACGACTGTCGGGTTGGGTTATGATTCCTTAAGTTAAGTTAGGTCTCTGTTTTTGAAAGAAATCAATTGGGATTTGTTGGACATTTATTAGGTCCTTTTTAGTTACGTTGATAGAATTTATTTTTTGGCATTGTTACCTAGATTTGTGTCATTGCCTTTTATTCAACGGGAAAATATTCAGAGATAGTAACAAAATCTGTTGGAATTGTTAGGAACGTAATAAAGCCAGGCACTGTGGCCAATCGAATTTCCATGTGGCTACGATTACGTAACCGTGCGAGCACGAACCGTGAATCGGACAAATCGATGCGACCCAGCAAAAATTTCGGTTGACCTACATCCACGAGAATTGTTTTGTCGTCGAGTAGAACAATGTTCTGGAATTTCACGGAATCGATTTGATTCTGACGATTACATTGACGTTCAGCTTTTTATTATAGTATAATAAAAAAATATTTTTCCAGTAATTTTCTTAGTGTAACGATAACAATGATCGTGCAGCTTACGGTTAGAAAAATAAACGTTGAAAAGTTTCGGCCGACAACGATGTAACGTAATAAAAAATGCTCCGGGCGGAGTAATGATGGAGTTTTACTACTTCAGGCGAGGAGAGGGAGCTGCGACTGAACGAGGCGAGCTTCGAACGTGCGGCCACGCTACTCCGGCGGGTTCCGGAATTCACTATAGCAGCCGCTTTGCGACAAGAGGAGGCCAATTCCGGGACGATCGTCGCCTTTTCGCATGGAAACAATAGGTATGGACCACGTGTAATTTCATTCCTCGTCCGTGTTCTCGCTTGGAATTCTTGCCACGAACAACACCATAACTCTGTAACTATCCGCGAATAGAAATGCGACGTTAAATTCCTTACCCTGGTTGAAAATCTTCCCACTCTGTCTTTGCTTCTTGATAACGTCACAATCTTAGACTTCCAAGTGTCTTTGAAAAGATAGGTAAAAGCTTATCGAGCGTCGTCGAACGTAATTACGATCGGGAAACGAATTACCGAAGGCTTTAAAGGTACGAACGAAGTGAAAAAGGTAAGAAAGGTAACGTTAAGGAAGTTACTGTGTCAATTGTTGAGCCGGGACGAAAGGAGAACACTTAACCCGAAAGTAGTCGCACCCTCTGCTGGCACGTGAGTAGAGCAGTCTAGTCGTTTTGACCTGGCTGACACAAATTGGATCCATGCATCTACGTGTCCGCGTATTAGACGGTAATTAACACGCTCCGCTGAGCAGAAACCACGGCCAGTTTAAGCGGAATTAAATGTTTATTTAGCGCGGCTACGAATCGTGCTTTTTCACATCCATAAATCATGCCACAGAGATTATTACCATTTTCGAACGAAGCGTCAGATTAAATTACCGATTCACATATGTACGCATGATAATGACCTATTGGAATTTCATTATCGTTTATTAACGAGGACAATCGAATAATCTCGCTCAGTTTCGTGTTAGGGTTAGCGGGTGATCTATGTTAAGCTTAAAATTGATATCGCGATGCTTACACGCAATCCCACTCCCTTCTGATTCAATCACGTAATCTATTTAATACCATATACACGTTTCAATTAACAGCTCGAAACCGGTTCTAATCGATCTACAAACGTGTACCACACTCTGTAACCGCGTTATTGAATTGCACGGTCTGTTAAGTTATTCGATTATGTAGTTATACAGTAACTCATGCAGTTAATTATCCCCCTAATTGTGTCACCAGGATGCGTACCGGTAGATCCCAATAAACGAAACTATTACGTAGAAAGTTAGAAAAAGAAAGGGAATAAGTAGGACATTTGTTAGGATAATATGGACAACCACAATTATTTTGTAGATATTTGGAGCTGCAGAGCAGCGGCCGTAAGAACGAGCTTCGACTTTATTACATATCCCGTCGCGACGGGGCTGTACACGAGGAGGCGTTTCCTTTCCGACTGGCCGACGGGGCCTGGCACAGGGTCGCCCTAAGTGTAAGCGGCTCGCAGGTCGAGCTGCTCGTCGACTGTCATCCATTGTACAGGCGGTTGCTCAGGCCTGGACCACCTGACACAAATTTCACTCTGCCTCAACTTCAGCTCTGGGTAGGACAGAGAAACGTCAAGCACTTTTTCTTCAAGGTACGACTGCCTCTTCCCTATCCCCTTTACCCAATTATATCTGGTGCAGTGTCAACGATGATTTTTCACGAGGACATCTGCAATTACGGCCTGCCTCGTCTTGTCAAACGTCTTCTTTCTTTTTCCTTTCCTTAACTTACTTAAATATTAGAAAAGGCTAACCACCGGTATATTCTTGGTTTCTCATCAATTATTTCATATATGTATATTATTTATCTATCGCTTATCCTATCGTAAAGCGGTCATTTACTGTCAAGTGAGACAAGTTTATACGATTTTCATAGGGTGCTCTACAGGATGTGAGGTTGATACCCGGCCCCCATGGCTATCTTTCACAGTGTCCCCAACTCGATTCGTCCTGTCCCACCTGCGGTCAATTTTCTATACTGCAAAACACGGTCGAGCAGCTGATGCATAATCTGAACGAACTATCGCGTAGAGTGAGTACAACGTGTACGGTAGACGCGTAGCCTGGGGTTCATTCCAGCTCACCGACATCATTCCTTTTAGCTAGCCGCTGCAGAGGGCAGAATAAGCAAAGTGGAGGAGTGCGAGTGCCAAAAATCGTGCAGGGCAAACGGCACGGTACACGAGGACGGCGCCACATGGGAAAAGGGTTGCCAACAGTGTTCCTGTGTCCATGGTGAAATCGAGTGCCGACCAACGCCCTGTGCTGCTGTCACTTGCAAGAATCCCGTCATTCCTCAAGGACAGTGCTGTCCGATCTGTTTGAGTAAGCTCATCACTAATACAGAATCATGAAACGTTGCTTGGAATATGCTTATAAGCTTAATAGCGGTTTTAGAATTTGGGGCTCTAAGGAGATTAACATTTTCGCTACTCGAAGCGACTGTAGAGTTAGGTCGAACAAATGACGATTAAGTAATTAATTAATGATAATGACAAATGGATTCTCGGGGAAACTTGGGAATTGAAATTCTAAATACGTATGTGTTTCGCTAAAACCAACATTTCTCTCGATGCCAATTAATTTCGAACATTGCTCGTTGTCTGCAGAACAATGTTACTTGCATGGCGTGATTTACGATCACGGCGAGAAAGTCTCGCCGAAACAGTGCGTCGAGTGCGACTGTTTCGACGGAAGTTTCACTTGCCAGAGATTTGACACGGAAACCAGATGTCCGCCATTGCCTTGTCCTCCTAGCGAACAGATCAGCGTAGCCGAGGAATGCTGCAAATTTTGCCCAGGTACGTTCGTTGCTTCGTCATAACTTTCATAACATTTTCATTCAAAGAAAGCTAATAAAGGGTTGTAGCGTTTAGACCCAAATAGAGTTCATTAAATATCGAACAAAAGAAAAATCGATGCATGTCATTCTATATCATTTAATTGTATCAAAATGTCCTCTGAATAAACTATTCCCTATTCTATTTCTCGACTGATCCCCTCACCGAATGGCAAGCATACCAATTTACTACTTAACAAAAAAAGGGGCGATTGCTGAAAAGCGACTCCGATCGCCTTTTACCGCTGAACAAAACTACTAAATCGCTAATAGAATGTTCTAACTGTCTCTGCATACGCCTTTGCTAACCAAATTTAACCAGGGGTGGACTACTGCGCGAAGGGCCACAAGTGTCACGCTAATGCATCCTGCCTGAACCTGCAGACAACGTACGCCTGCCACTGCGATATTGGTTTCCAAGGGGACGGTCATAACTGTCACGGTACCTAATTGATCTCTAACTTTTTCTCTACCTGTGCAATTAACAAATCTATGTGTCGATCGATTGGAAATTTCTTGCGTCAAGGAACGCGGTTACATAGTTGCGATTACATGCCTCGTGTTTCTTGTTAAACAAATTGCGAATCGCCTGAATCAGCGACAATCGCAACTCTGTAACCTAACCAAGGTGTTTCAAAGCTTATACAGGGTGTTTCATTATTATTAACCGCCTGGAGCATGTTAATCGCTTGAGTGCTGTCGCAGAGTCCAAGAGTGGGATCCACAGGTGTCCTGGCTGGGGTCTGATATACGTCGGTCAGAGTTAGATTAGATCCTGTAATCCTCATACTAAATGATCATCCGTCGTTCGTGGGTCTTCTCGGACCCTGCCTCACCGGTTAAAAAAGAGTCTGTTGGATTCCTGCTCGCGGACAAGATAGATTCAAATTATTGAAAGTATCAAAAGGCAATTGTCCCCCATAGTTCACGCGAACAAAATGAAGCATCCTGTATGGCACCGTACAAATTAACCAACGACCAATGCTGATCCGGTTAACCTGTTGACACCACAGACATAGACGAGTGTAAACAACAAGGTGGCTCGGAAGGTCATCACTGCAACGCTAATACAAAATGCGTGAACGTGATCGGCTCGTACACGTGCGAGTGTCTTCCGGGCTACCATAGAGTGGACAAATTCAACTGCGCCGAACTCGACGAGTGTGCGACTGGTCACCACGCGTGCGACCAACACGCGACCTGTGTGAACACCGCGGGCAGTTACTATTGCATCTGCAAGGATGGCTACACTGGCGATGGCTACACCTGCAAACGTACAGTATTCCATTTCCTTGCTTCATTTTATATCACTTGCTCGTTCCTTTTACTACTACTACTACTACCATTAATACCGTTCGTCCTAATGGTTCGCATCGACAAAGCTTCAACTAAAAACCTCTTCTCTTCTTTTCCGCTTTCTTCAGCGGTCTGCAATCAGACCTGTCAGAACGGTGGCGAATGCGTGGCGCCAGGAAAATGTTCCTGTCGCCGCGGTTACATAGGCAACAGTTGCGAGCTCGATCTGGACGAGTGCGCTAGCGATCTTCATCGTTGTCATCAGTCGTCAACTTGTTTCAATATGCCTGGATGGTATTATTGCCGCTGCAAACCCGGTTACAGAAGCGCCCTTCACGACAGCACCCAAGGCACCCAGTGTCTCGATATCGACGAGTGTAACGATCAGACGATCGAGAGGAGGCACACGTGTCACCCTAGCGCTAAGTGCGTCAACACCGAGGGTGGATACGAGTGCGTATGCCCGCCTCAGGAGGACAATCACACCGCGGAAGAGTGTAGATTGAGTGAGTGTACTTTTGTTTCTCATCGATACTTATCGTAAAACGAATCGTTATATCGTAATGGACGTTTCCATTGATTTGCACAGGTTGTTGGTTCGAAAATCAAGAGGTTAAAAACGGAGAGACTCTGGCACCAGCCGGTAATCCTTGCAGAAGATGTACTTGCAAGGACGGGGTCATCACCTGTAGGGATCCCGTTTGCGACTGCAGCGCCCCTGGAAGTCACAGGGACAAATGCTGTCCTCAGTGCGATCCTGCAGCCTCTTGCAGGCATCAGGAGCTTCATCACCTAGTCTTCAGGAGCGGTGAACGATGGATATACCAGTGTCAGACTTGCGAATGCCTGGTAACGATGATAAACCTCGACAATTTAAGTTTCAAATCATGTTTTATCTGAATTTCGGTGACGATCACCCCTCTGGCTGGTTACAGTACGGTGAAATAGACTGCTGGCAGATGGAATGTCCACCAGTTAGCTGTTCGAATCCCGTTACGGAGGACGGGGACTGTTGTCCGCGTTGCGAGGACGATCCATGCGCGAGAGAACTACCCGGAAATGGTACTTCTCTCTCGTTGTTGACACGGCCAAGGCCTTGCAGTTACTCCGGCATCATTCATGACAGTGGCAGCTCCTGGCAGGATCCCCATGACAAGTGCACCACGTGCGAGTGCAAGGTAAGGAGGGCGTCAGGTCTCGACGCGTCGAGGGGCCGAAGAGTCGTCGGTCTCACAGGATTCGGATAGGATAGGGGGGTTCGTGAGGGAAGAGAGAGGCGAATGACGGAGAATAAACGATGGCCCGATCCACTCATTATAGAAAAATTCTAGCCACGCGTTTCTTCTCGTCGCGCTCTCTTTTCGCGCGAAATCAAGAGCTCAAGGTCAGTAAATGAAGAAAAACAAAGAAATATTAAGTATCGCCTTTATTTAGCCGTGAATCTGTGATGTACATACATGTATTTAAACAGTTGCGCTCACTGTGTCACGTCGAGGTGCGACCAGTTGCTGTGCGGCAGGCGTCCATCGTGAAAAATGAAAATCAGTGTACATTCTGTTACACGTGGCGGATCATACAATATCCATTTTCTTCATCTTTAACTCTCTTTCTATATTTCTGTTCCCCGTTTTGCGTACGTGCTTTCGTTATAACGAATTTTAATTAACATCGCTTGCGTGTTGCATGGGCAGCAGTGAACCATTCGTATAACTAACTTAATCAAACAATAATCATAAATATTTTTCTATTATGTGTAAAGGAGTTCAGATACTCAATTTTAACGTTTTCATTTGAAACGAGTTCCAGAGAATCGAAAGGTGTTTATAGTACCAAGAATTTCTTTTATTATCAGATTATGTTAGGATAATGGACTAGTCATCGCAGTTATCTTAACATTTACAAAATGATTCGTCCGCCACGTGTACAAGGAAGCCACACACCATTTAGCCATATGTATACCGTTGTTCTCTCTCTCTCGCTCTTTCTTTCTTTCTATCTTTTTTCGTCTATCTGCCATATTTTTTTTTACCATGTCAGTAGGTAATCCTTGTACAATTACAAGGTATTTACCGTGCTGACTGTGATTTGTTTTCAGTATGCCATTTATTTTTGCGGTGTGTATAACGCGAGTCAACATTGCGAAGCTATTTGCGTTCAATTCTTGGTATTTCGTACGTTGAGAGAAAAATTGATTGATGCCTTTAAAGTGTTTCTTATCCTAATTAGTATCATTTAGCTCATCTTAAACTTATCCTCACCCAAACCAACTTAGATCAAACATAATCTTAAAAAAAAAAAATTATTCTCTCAGCGCGAACTACCATTGCGTGATGCTAGTCTTTGTCATAATGCGACCTGAAGCTGTACTCACCACATGTAAATTATTCCAAGATCTTTGTTCTGGAGGTACTAGCGTTCAGCGACACGTTCGGGGGCGTCCCTAAGCTAGCCTTAACATTTTTCTTTAGATTATGTGTACTATTTTGTTTCATTGGCTGCCTTGCACGCGGCAGTGTTCATATTATTTATTAGTATTTCACGTATACTGTACGGAAAAAAAAGATTTTAAGCTCAGCACCGTATATATTTATATATACGTACTGTTTTGCATGTCTCTCCAATGATCAGAGTAATTACACTCTCTTCCGTAACGTAGAAACGAGAATCATTATTATTGTTATTATTATTTCTGTAGTGATTGATTTAACCAATCGTACAGTCTGTTCTTTTTTTTTTCTTTTTTTTAATTTGACCCTCGCTCACTGTATGAACCAGGTGTTAAATAGCTTGGACGAAAACAATACAGCTTTCGCGACCAATTTGTTTTCGATGCATCTTGATCGATCGATGCGATTTATTGGTTTCTTGGACAGCATCGATGACTTTGAACCATCGTTAAAATAGAATTGTACAGTGTCGAGCATGGTAGACTTCCCTAGGGAGAAAGTCGATAGAGGAAGGCGGGTTCTCTTTCCACCATATTGCCATTTTTCCTAGAGAAGAAGCCTTCTTGGAGGGATTTCTTTTATTAATCAAAGGAACCAATACTTCGTACTGAAATTAACAAACGGGCTGATTGAACACTGCCGCGAAAAATGTAGACGATCGAACGTCAAAAAAAAAAAGAAAGAGAACGAAACTCTGATCAATTTCAATCGATCTCCACAAGAACTATGGCTCAATGTTGAAAATCTCTCACTGCTTCGGGTCGGCCCTGCATGGATCGTATTCTACATATACGCATTTGCCTCGTAACGAAAGCGGAAGCAACTTCATAGCGTGTAACATACCCTCGTTTTCGTCGATCCATTCGCTATTATTGAATAACATAAGTAAAAAGCTTTAAACAATCTGTTACATGAAAAAAGATTTCCGAGAAGTTACTTAAATCACGTCTAGGGATACCTAGAAGTATTTTACTAGATTTAAAAATTGATGAATCATTAATTTCTAATTTTGAACTGAAAGTATGATTAATAAAAATGATTTAAATGGATCGACCAGACGAAATGGGTCAATGTGCTACGCAAACACGAAAGAGCGAAACGAGTGCTGTACAAACATGCTGCGAAATTGTTTAACCCCATCACTACACACACACACACACACCACATATATAATATATATACACATATTTACATTGACACATTGCTCGTGAACGACTAACCTGACTAGCCTAACGATGGGTATCCTTGCAGGTGCCGTACTGCGCCCAATTGGTGAGCAATAGCGCGTGTTGTGTGCATCGGTAATCACGTCACTTCTACCTCACCTATAATCTCTTCTACCCGCCTATTCTTCTTTTTTAATTAATGTCTCTCTTCTTACTGTTATTGTTTATTGTCCATGACTAAATCACGAGCTCGAGTGCTTTCGTTTTCCTTTTGCCTGCTTTGGGTGGCCTTAGCTCTTCGAAGCCACCCCATGAACGTAAGAATATGTGAACAGAGCCTGTGTTCGTAAGGCATTCGGAGGATCTGCTATCTGCTTCTGGTATAGCAGGAGTTACGGTGGCGTAGGTGGAGCCATTGGCTTCTTCGAGTTACGGTGGCGTAGGTGGAGCCACTGGCTTCTCCGGAGTTACGGTGGCGTAGATGGAGCCACCTTCCACTCGTCTTCTAGTAGAGATAAACTTTGGGCTTCGTCCATAGATTCTTACGTCCATGAATCACCCTACTGGTGCTTGATTCTATCTCTTATTTTTCTTTTAGTTTTACTTTATTCTGTGTATCGTTGATTTAGATTCTACATAGTAGTGATCTGCGTGTAACCTGATACGTAGAGAAGTCTCTGGCGTTCGTTATTCGCCGCACGCTGGTCACCAGACTGTATTGACCCCGGTTTCCCAATTTGTGGGTCACGCGAGCACGTCGCATGTTTCATTGAAATCTAACAAAAACTGTTCTTGATCGACGTATCAACAATTATTCAATTGCATTTTAAATTTGAATAACACTGCTATTCGCTGCATTTTTGTATTATTATCAGTAATACAAAAATTACGCTTTCTTCTATCGATCGATAATCTGTTCATTTTTATTTCGAATGTAATTAAACGATTGTCGATCGTTCGATCAAGATACTTACGATCCTCCATCTTGGTACTTAATGGCTGACTGCACGTTTACAAAGATTCGCATGCACCGACTCACCTCACGCTCTTCTGGCTAAACGATTCAAGTAATTTCAAGCAACACGGGTCATTTGATTCGGGCACATTCGATGATGTACCGTCATTGATGATAAAATATGAAAGGAAAAAAAATATAAGGATTTGAAATTGGTATCGGTCGGGGCGCACGGCGCACGTGGTGACAGACGCACGCACACGCACACGAGCGAACACACAGATTGCATTTTGGTTCGTTTCTCTTTTATTTCGATCTTCTTTTTTATTTCAATTATGGTTTCGTTACACTTGAGCCTCTTTTGCACCCTCCTCTGATCTGCATTCGAGATTCGATAGAAGCACCAAGAGTCTCTTTCTCTCTGTCTATCGAATATTGTCCGTCAACGATTCTGGCATAAAGCATTGTAAAAAATATTAAAAGTTACATATTTATTCAGATACGAAGCTTAAGTCCATCAGATAACAATATAAAAAGTCTATTATATGCAGAATAAAATTATTTTATCTTTCAACTTAACATGAAATATTCATAAAATTAACATGTAATATGCACATATAAAATTTTATTTGATTATAATTGATAGTACTAGTCACCGCTGACATTCAACAGCAGTCAATGAGTTAACATAATATTATTTTGAAAATTTGTAGTGTAATGATTGAAATTCGATTATATTACCAGAATCGTGACGGAAAGTAGTGGAAACCCAGACACGTTGTATTCAGGTGTCAGATACATACTATGGAAATTCATTGTTTTGTCCCCCGAATGTCAGAGCATGATTGTCATGAGTCGATTTCTTGTAATTGTGATCGTAAAGCAATGCATTATCGATCGTCACGATGAAAAGAAAAAGGTATCGTACCGGACATGAAGAAAGGAAACGGGCGAACGACGGATTTTCACGTGGATATCCTGTCTCCACAACGGAACACACCGTGTGCTGTTTCAACGAAACAATGAATTACATACTATGTGGAGGATTACCTAAATTGACCCTTCCGCGACGCGAAAAGTCTTGGAGTCACGTTGCGATCCGATAAGGGTGACCTGTTTAATTTTCTCGTTCAAATTTACCGACATATCGGTCACTTTCAGTCACTAGAATCGCTGTACGGCTGTGCACGTTCAAAGGTACAATTTCACGCAAAAATGGTGCATCCAATTTTTTCAAACGACACTTGTACACCTTTAGATACGGTGTTTCATATAGTTGCCAAATTTGTACACTTGTCTCTTTTCAAAATTGATAAAAAAACACGTTAAATTCGATTAAATACTATTCCACTACGAACAGTAGAGGGTGTTTCGTATAATTGGGCACTGTATCAACGTTTCGCTTCTGGTCATCTCTTGCCCCCTCATGTACCGCACAATGCACCCCCCCAAAAAAATGATATGCACGCAATCGCAACGCCAAGACTTTTCGCTTCGAGAGAGGACGAGTGTCCCGTGAATACGGAAGAAGGCGAAAGAAAACAAAACGAACAACAAAAGCCGGTTGGTTCGTTGGTTCCGTCGTTGGCTAACCCAGTGTCCAACGAACCTCTCCGTAGGACGGGCAGCTATGCTGCAGCTACGATTACGGCTGCGCTGGCGATTTGGGCAGCAACGAGCAGCAACGTCCTCCAGTCGTTGTTCCTGAGCCTTACGTACGCGGCCTATCGAGCGCTGCGGGGTCACCGATGGCTGACGGTGCACCGGAAGCAGCTCTATCAGCGGTTACAACTACCAGCTCAGCTGGTGCAACGGTCACCAGCACCGCCTACCCCCTGTCATCCTCGTCTTCTTCCTCGTCCACCAACACCAGAAGCGGGTCCAACGTGGCCAGGAAAGCACAACGGAGCCTGCAAAAATCCCAGCAGCCAGTACAACGACAGAGGGACGACCTCCGTGTCGGAATGCAACTACAACAAGCTGTGCCTACAGACAGGTACCAGCTGCCCTCTGGAGCAGCGACGGCGTCGTCGTCGACGTACGAGCGCGTTGCACCCACGTCGACGTCGTCGCCGACGACGGGCAAAACTCCGGGCAAGTCTCAACCGCCTACGCTTACACCACGACGACAGCGCCCTAAAGCGGCGGGCAACCTCACCAACCATCGAGGCAACGCATCCTTCTCCTCTCCTCCCTCATCCTCATCCTCATCCTCCTCCTCCTCCTCGGCGTCTTCGTCGCCACTTACCATGCTGGTGCCCTCTGGGGCGGACCCAGACTCGGAAGACACTGTCTCTGTCAGCAGCACCACCAGCAACAGCGACAAAGTGGTCGGGACCGACGGATACCGTCAGTCGTCGAACAATCGTCATCGGAGGAGCGACGACAACGACTCGATGGCGCGGGGCAGCGCTACCTGAGCCCGTTGCTTCCGTGGAGAGCTAGAAGAGACAGAAATTCTGCATTGGCAAGGCATTCCAGAGGGTGTAGCACGAAGACTGGCCCACGGGCCGGCGTAGTAGCCTGAGCGGACAGGCGTTGTTCTCTATGGTCACCCTTAGGGGGTGTCGCCTAGGGAGTCGAGTGCTGAGAAGAGAAACGCGAGCAGGACCGAAAAGAGGAGCCTACCGGTTGACGATCAACCCGTTTGTCGAATCGTCGCGCTTTTCGTCGTCCGTGGTCTGTGCTAACCGACTGAAGCAAGGACACGTGTGTATTTGAAATGATTTCGAGTCGGATTCTAACCTCTAGTCCGCCTACCGGATAGCCAGAGGGCTTCGAGGCTGGTGTTCAGCGAGATAGATCTACCGACTGGCCTCGTGTATCGTCGGTGAACGTAGCGGAGAGTTTAGGGTGTGCCAAATACGAGCCTGCCAACGCCGACCAACCGGGGACACCATCTTGCAGCCACTATAGACTTGATCGTTCCGACGAAGAACAACGTCGTTGACGATTGATCGTCGAACGAAACGTGTTTTGTCCGCGTGTGGTAATGGGTCAAGCATGAGTTAGTCGTAATCTTGAACGCCAGACTTCCGCTCGGCCAATAGAATAAATCGGAGAAACTGAGCCCAGACGCGCGTCCAAGCGTTCCAAGCTTTCGCGATCACTTCGCGTACTTTCCATCGTCGAACTAAAGGTAGCGCACAATATTTGGGCCTTATAAAATTATAAAATTTTTGCCGTGGTCCTTGCCGTCTTTAATCGGGGGGAGGGGCAGTACCAGTGAAATCCGTAATCGTGAACGATAATGCCCCTGTTCCATGAATGGCGGACCACGCGAGAAACGATATAAATAGAGTAATTATCGTAAGGAATTGAATATCCCCAACATGAAGGACGAAAATCGTTATACATAGAGCTCCGTACTAAAAATATATATATATATAACTTATTATTATACACGCAAATATATATATGTATATTATATATGTATATATATATATGATGTATATTCGATACGGATCACGCGTGAAATATTGACGAGTCATTTATTCAGACGATCTTTATTATTATATTATATTAAAAAGAAAAGTATCGTTCTATCGTGGGTGATCATATCTCGCTAACAATATAGGTAAACGCGCGATAATAACGGGTGGCCGTAACACGGACACGCGGCATTGTAGCTCTGTGAAAGGAAAAAAATGATTAAACGTAATTAGTGTACGCTTTGGAAGTCGTAACGTTTAAGGATCGTTATTTTAGGATAACGCGGTTAAATTATTCTCGTGTGAGGATTTCGGGAGAATGAGAAAAGAGATATATGTATAGGCAGGATTAAGAATAGGGAAGTACCAAACGGTTGGTTCAGTTTCTCTGATTGAAAACGCTGACTGGTTTATGCTTGATCCAAATTTGTAATCGAATCATCGAACGTGCAACCTGTGCCTCCGAGGACAACGAGACCTTTCACTGGCCCTCGGACTCTTCTTGCTTTCGATGAAAAAACGGACGTATTTATCGTTTCAATTTCGTTGGAACATTATTAAAGTTAACATTAATTTAATGACGTCAGAGTCGCGAGACAAGGCGATGAGATAAGTGGAAAATTATTTCATTTATTCAACGAATAATTTCGTTCAGTTGATGTCAGTGAAACGAATTGTTAAATAATCGCTAGCATGTCCGAACTTTCATCGGAGCAATTAAGTCTCCTGTTCAATTATTAGTTGTACACCGGACGATGAACGTGCCGGCTCGCTCGAACGATTCTTTATCTCGCTCAACCCAATGCGACCACTACGACTACATTCCTCCTTGATTAACAATAAGTAGGCACTAAAAATGAGAGAAACATATAAATATATATATATATATATATATATATATAAACAAATGAAACGGTGAAGCACACACGAGTGAATATACTTCTGAAAAAAAGAAAACTGAAACGTGGAAAAAGGGACATATATAATGTGCATTCGTAATCGTTTGTTCAATGTGCAATAATTAAACGGTAACGGCTTAATTTGTAAAGAAAACTCCTATTAGTCGCGTGGATACCAGTGCTGCTTCACATCCGATGGTGAATTTCATTTAACTTGAAGCAACAATGTTTCTCTTGAGTCTCGTGGCTGTTTTCTTTGTCAATTAATTTTCGTCACACTTTACTTCAATTCTGGAAATAATTTCAACTTTAACTTTGACTTAATTTTGAGAATTAATCTCTGTCCTCGATGTTACTTTTCATTTTAATTGAACTTATCCCAAGTTTAGCCCCTTCGTAGTAGCAACCAGCCACGCGACCCAAGTGTTCAGACATGGGTGCGAAGTGGCGATGATTCTATACACACGAATTGTAACTTTTCATCATATTGAGAATGGAATTTCACTCCAAGAATCTTCCCAAAGACAAAACTTTCGATCAGAATCTATATTCTTCGTGATGCGAGGCGTCGACAATGGATAAAAAAAAAAAAAAAGAACGTAGTTCCTCGAACAAAGAAAGAAGCAAAGAAGCTATAAGAAACCATTTGAGCACTCCGTAGGTGCATCACATATGTATTACACATATTTACATATACATGTTGTGTATAAAAAGGATATCGATGAAAAATGCGTGCATCGGCCTGAGCAAATCGTAAATTAATTAAGCCATTGATTAAGCCATTGATCGACAGATACGCTGTGTTGCTATGATTGTATATAGGAACGTGTAACGTGTTATATAGTGACAACCTAATTAACAGGGCGTACGTATTATACATACATACATACACATATTATACAAAACGAGACTATTCGCCGTGCGATTTTGATTACTTAACAAACGAATGAACAACATAAAACGACACCACCAACAACAACAACGTGTAACATGAATTTTATTGACGAACGACGTGTAAGGATGATGATGACGATGATAATGGCATGTTCGATTTGAGATTATGATCAACTCTTTTCTCCCTCTCTTTCGTTCTTCGTCGGACGAAGAGATCGGCGCGTCGTTCGTATAAACTAGCATACAATTTAACGATAAATAAAATAGAATCGTATTACCTATTGTATTATCGATATCGTGTTAAGCATTTACGACGACTAATCTCGAGGAAAGTCACGCGTTTGGCACAAAGAAAACGAGAAACGTCGGTGATTAGCGGACATACTAATTAAAAATGTACATTAGATGTAACACGCGTTGTCGCGTCTAGAACGAGGAGAGGAGAGGAGACAAGTAGAATGCCTTGGTGCCAGATTTTACGCCTAGCTTAAGATCTTTTTAGAGATTATTTATATTTGCAACGTAAAGCTGTGCGAAAATTGGCCTAGAAAAATGGCCTTCTATTTCCTAATTTGTCATAAATCTAGAACTCTTTGCTCAAGAAACTTTTATTCGTTGAATGATATCGCCCTGTAAAGTAGGATGACAGGAACCTATCTGGCCTAAGCGTTTATGCTTCATTTTGTAGCATTTTAAAGTGGTCTAATGTATTATTTTTCGAGTCACCAACAACTGATCTGGCAATGAGTCGTTCGCACGGCATCATCCATGCGTCGTTCGTCGTCCGATTAGACAAGATAGACAAGACAGGTCTCGTAATCAGGTAGGTAGGATAGGTAGGTCGATAGATAGGTAGAATACCTGAAAGCAGGGCGGCGATAGGCAGAGCCAATGTCGCGTATCAATAGCGGATCTAACTGTATAGTGTTCACTGGTTACTTCGTACTTTTTTGAATAAGACCGAACGAGAAGATCGTATAAAACCTAGCTTGGAGTGGCGAGAAGTTGACGGACCTACCGGGCTGGAAGGCAAACAGGAAGAACAAAATATTGAGAGGAGAAACTTGTATGAGGACTATAAAAACTGTAATTAAGGAAACACCGAGATCAACCCAGAAAGACTTCTTTTATAGTGTGTTACCTAATATTAATAACAGTTTTACCACGTTACTCCTGACTACCGCTAGTTAACGCCTAATTACTTATTTACCAAGGTAATTAACTAACAACGACTAAACTAGTAAGCGCTTTAAATTAAACGAGATTAACGAGGATCTAACTACAGCCAGCCTAGTCCCAGTTTAATCTGTGCTAACCGTAGACGTTACTACCGTTACTAACTACTGGCACTAATGTTACCGTCATCGTCACCGTTTCGTTCGTATTCGTCGTTAAACGCGATCGATGGTGATCCGTGACGGTTCTCTTAGCTTCGAGCAAAGATATCATCGATATTAGTTGACTAAAATCTCTAAGAAATTATTTTATTTTGGAATCTGGCATCGAAGTTTCGTTTGATCGGGCGATCATGGCACAGGGGCCAGGAGGAACGATCGCAGCACCATCGGTCGTCATACCAGACGAATCAAGCGAAGTGCTGCTAGTGTTTTTTGTCTTGATACACATGCTAGTGGCTGGCGCAAATATCGTCACTGCCGGGACTATCATTGTCATCTTCCTTCATTCGATCATTTCGATCAGGGTACAGGCGGCCGACACTCGTGCACGTCGAGTTTCTAATTGTTAACCACGCGCTGCTATCCGTTGTAAACTAATTATTAACTCTATCGTGGAGCGTTATTAATCCTCGCGGATACCACGTCGTATGGTCGTTTTCGTACACAATCGTCACGTAATCGTGGCTTTGAGGCTTCGAATCGACGAGACTGGCAAGTAGACGAACCGAATGCTTGCGTCTGCGCCGCCCTTCGCGTAGGTGTACCGCTACCTGGTGATGTGATGTCGGTTTAATTATTTTGGAAACAACGAGAAACGTGGAATCTCGCTCTTCCAGTGTATCTTATCACCCTTCGACTGCCGTACTTTAGAACCTTCGTCGCTATCTTGTCGAATTCATACGTGGTAAGGAAACTTTTTACGTACACTCTAACGAGGGGAACTACCCAAGTGTTACCTTCGTCGAGCTAATTGCGTCTATATCCCATTTTGGGGGCAGACGGCTAATTGTTTAAAAGATATGAACAATTAAAGTTAGTTACTCCTTACATTGTGAAGTTTCAAAAATTCAGCTGGAAATGGTTAGTTCCGTGGTTAAATGCATGACGTGCAATCTAAAGGTGCTGAGTTCAAATACTTGATTCCTGACATATTTCTCTTAATTGTTTCTTCTTGACTGCATATTACAGCTATAATCACTGCATTTATTAATAATTCATTATATACGCTGCATTTTTTATAGAATTTAAATTATGTTTTCCATTCAATACATACATTAACATTGTAACAGCATCGTATGCTTATTTGTCATTACACACAATTATTTCTTACAGTTTGAGTTTGATCTTATTTATATATCTTCATGTTATATACAAATTTGCTGTTGTAATAACGAATAAGCGCGTTTTTTATGATGCCGTATCGATGTTAATGGATCGTAAATACAATTAAAATTCTATAAAAAGTGCAGCGTATGTAATTAATTCTTAATAAATGCAGCGACTATGGCACAGCTGTAAAAAATGCTCAAAAGAAAGAAACTGTTATTGAAAAAAAAAAAGTTAAAAGTCAAGGATTTGAACCTAGGACCTCTAGTTTGCGAGTCATGTTCAACCGCAGGGCTAACCATTTCTATGTGTGAGTTTGTTACATTTCAGAATGTAAGAAGTAACTAACTTTAATTATTCATATCTTTTAAACAATTAACCATCTGCCCCCAAAATGTTTCATTAATAAGCGAACGTACCACTTGGGTAGTTCCCCTCGTAAGAGGCGAACTTTCCTTAAGTTCCTTGTTAATTTTACACACTTTTGGCAACGATTCAGACTCTTCAAGGATCGAAAATTGTAATTTTTCGTAAAATTCCAAACACTTTACCGACTTCACGATATCATGTCACTAATATCGCGCTACTCCGCCATTTCCACCTATCTTGTCCTTCCTCCTTTCCTCCATTCTTCCTTAAAATCGCTGATACCGAGTCTCCTCGAGCAAACGACATGCTCTCTAATCGAATTTTATTTCTTTCTACCAAATCGCTCACGATTAATCCACGTAATCATGAGACTGTTGACCAGTATAACGATTCGAGAATCCAGAACGATTCACTGACTGAATGATTCCAGTTAACCCTTTATAGAGCACGGTTCCTATTCAGAACTTTTAACCCTAGCCGACTTTAACTTCATCTCGGATGAAGCAGACTTAAATTTCAATTATTTTACTTAACAGAAATTTTAACTTCGGCCTAATCTACTTTTAGATCTTAAGTGAAATATTTGTCTGGTTTACTTTGATCCAGTTTACCTTTCAATCCAACTAAAACTCGGCTCTCGACTTAACCCAGAACCGTCTGTTAAGTCTATAAAGGGTTAATCGATCGAATCGTTTTCAACTGGTCATGAAATTGTTTGTAACTGCGCGTAACGAATATTCGAAGCATTAAAAGTCGAGATCCGTGAACCACGGATTAGTATGATTCGGGATGCTATAACGAAAGCGTGTTTCGACTGTCGTCAGACGAATAAACGATGGTTATTAAATCTTCACCTTATTTGTCCTTATTCATATTATTCATAAAATTCAATGACTTAGACTTTCATCACGATTTCAACTGATTTAATTCGTTCCTTTATTCTTATAGAAAGAAAATTGATAAAAATTCCACGGCGACGTCCATCATGTTCCCATGCTTGTTGTGCGACGAATGTTTCTATGTACGTGTACAAGTTTAACTTGATAGCCTACGAATAGGGACGAATCCAGGTTCTCGAAACAAAATGATGGGGGAAAGTTATAAACGGTTCGATCAACATCGAATTACAAAAAAAGCATAATTTTCATCTCTACGAAACGATTATTCATTTCTTTTTAAGTTGATAAATTTTATTCCACGTTTTCGACGTTTTAACGTTTCCCGCCTTTCCCCCACCACCGTCTTAGCTGGATCCGTGCTTGCCTACGAATTATTGTACGGTATCGTCGTGTTAAGAAACGTAAGGGAGTTGATTTTTTCTAGTCAGATACGATTATAAATAATTTTACGTTAAACAGCCGGGTAAAGTTTTTTTACATCGCTGTGACTATGTAAGATGTTTCTCCTTATTCTCTCTTTCTTTATAATTTTCGACGGCCCGTCGTCAAGGGACGAGCGAAATTAATTAAATACGCGTCGTGAGCGATGACGACGATTATAAGATACGAATTTCGATTGATATATTAATTACGAATCGATCATTACTGTAATTCTTCTTATTATTATTATTCTTATTATTATTGCGTTGATTACGATTATGGTTATTATTGATTACTACCATCAACGATTATTAGTTACTATCACTACAGTCATATAATACCTTTGTAAATGAGAATCAAGACACTGACGGCTAGGGAAGAAACTTAATAAATTGAAATTCTATTAACCCAAACGCGTTCAATCATTCATACCGGTATCTCTTCCCGTTTATTTTTCTCTGAATAGAGAGATAATTGAAAATCTTCGTTTTTTTTTATCTTGAAAATTGAATTGTTACCCATGAGTTGAAAGAATATTTAATAATCTTCTTATCTTCGAATCTATGAAAATTTGAAACGAATCTATTATCATCCTCTCACTCGGCTGCTATCGGTCCAGGTTATCGACAATATTCTGACCTATTGTTCGGCTGCGAAAAGCCTCGGATTCGTAAATTCTATAAGGTCACGACATCCGTTCTTTTGTGGCTAGCATTTAGAATCTCGGGTGTTAAACTTTAAATATCCTTTCTCTCTTAAACTGACTGATACTTGTTCGAGCCTTCAGTTTATAGAGGTTCCGGTAACCATGTGTCTCGGTATGTCTCATGACATTCACACGCGAAATCAGCGTTCCTTATGATTTCAAAAAAAAAAAAAAAAAAAGAACAACGAGCACTCCAGGCATGCGCCCAATATAGCACCTAAGTATCTTAGCCTTGCCGCGACAGTCGAATCATGCCTCGTCAAGCAAAATGTGTTGCAAAATTCGCTTATCAGTAACATAATCGGCCTCTAATGACTCAGTGATTTCGATGGTGGTAGGTCGTAGTTGGAAGCATTAGTCTGCTCGCATCGACCAATCCACATGGTACACCAGTGCTGGATCATGAAGATTGAAACATTATTTAACAGCTGATCACCATGTCCACCACGAAGAACCTAGCGTTTCTGAACAAGAAACAGGCGCAGGATTTCTTGAATTCGTTTGACATCGTCATGTCGGACTGCGATGGTGAGTTTCTATAGATTACAGTCGTAATTAACACTTGATTACTTGACGATCGGCTGCTCTGGTTGTTGGAACAGGTGTCATTTGGTACCTACAGAAACCGATACCGGGCACCATTGACACCCTGAAGAAGCTGCAGGAACTGGGGAAGAGGCTGTACCTTGTGACCAACAATGGCACCAGTAGCGTCGATAGATATTGTGAGACATTAAAGTTGAACCAACTGGAAGTGCAACCGGTGAGTCATTTGATTACTTTATTTAAATACAGGAGACCTATTGGGGCGAAAAGTAAGATAGAGAAGTTTATACTGACACACAATCTTCGATTCTTAGTTATGACTGTACCTGCCCCTGCTGACCTGACGTTCAGTCGTCGGTGCTGGGCGGGTTGCAGGTTTCAGGCGCTTTTTACTCGAATTTTTAAACGTTAATTATTGGAAAACAAAGCCGCAAACGCTATTTCGTTATTCTTGATTTTCGTCTTATTTTGATCCCTAGAATCACCCCTTAAAGTTTTGCCCGCCTATTGTCGAACATCCTATATGTATTTTCTCTTGGATTTCTAATTTCTAATAGTACATTTTTTGCAGGAACAGGTAATAACTCCAGGCAAAGTCGTCTCCTGGTACCTGAAGAAGATTCATTTTACAGACGAGGCGTTTGTTATCGCTTCGACACCATTTCGACAAGCTTTAATCGACGCTGGTATTAAATTGTCTCCAGAAAATGTAAGGAAATGTAGATTTACTTTGTTAAATTATTTATATTTATGTATCTTCTTTGGGGCGTTAGATCGAGATTGACGAAGATGACGTGTTCGGGTCTCTAAAGCGTGTAGAAGATCAACCATCGATCAAAGCCGTTGTTGTTGATTTTTCTGTGGTCTTTAATTGGGCTAAAATAGCGTTCGCGATATCTTGCTTGAAAAGGAACGATGTTCTTTATCTTTGCGGGGCTCAGGACGAGTGGGTCACTTATGACATCGATAAAAAAATATTAGGTAATTTTAAAACTTGTTTTACAGTTTTTTATTGTACTATGGGTTAGGGTAGGTCCTATTCATGCTGTTTTCTCGTTCAGGCCCAGGTCCTTTAATCGAAATGATTACCAAACAAAGTGGTAAAACGCCCATCCAGTGTGCTAAACCCAGCGAAGTATTACAGAGCTATCTTTTCGATCTCTGCAATGTGAAGGATTCAAAGAGGTGCTTGTTCATCGGTGACACGTAAGTAAGGAGAGCCCCAGAGGCAGGAAATTATCGAGCGATTACTGGATATTACAAACAAAAATTTGTTTCTCTGGTTTCTCATAATTTCAGAATCAATTATGACATGAAATTTGGAAAGATGTGCGGATTTCAAAAGTTAATGGTTGGAACTGGCCTTGATAATATCAAAGACGCAGAATTGAACGAAGAAATCCGTCCGGATTTCTACGTTCCCAGTTTGGCGTTGTTGCATCCCATTATTGATTCACTGCAGGATGGCTTTGTGGATGAAAGAAATGGTTCCTGGCATCGGAACTCCAGTATGTTTAATGAAAATAATAAAAATCTGAGATGAGCGTAAGAATTTTTAAATATTAAATAAAAGTGTATAATATTCGTAATAAAAGACTACAAAATTAATGGTCTCGTTTTGAAAATAATTAAAGACCTGATACTTATTATTAATTAGTTCACCTTGTACATATGAACGTCGTAATTCTTTTGCAAAAGTTCTTTTAATTTTTTTGGAGCAACTGTCATTATGCTGAAGATCTTTTATAATAAAATAACAAGATAAATGATTTCATATATTTTTATATATTATATATTATTTCTAAATATTGTAAACCGAGTTCCTTTTCTTTCTCTTATTCCTTCGGGCTAGCTTCATGTAGGTAGCTAAAGGCATACATATACCTTTATTTTATTTTCTGCGTTCATTTAATTTGCTGTAATTATCTTCTTAACTTATTGAATAAACTCCTTAGGAGGACGAACGTGTTAATTTTATTACTTCCGTCTGCACCTTTTATATCTCTGATTCCATTATATCTCTGCATCCTTATATCACTGCATTCCTTACATCCCAGCAACGCTTACATCTCAGTATTCCTAACATCTCTGCATTCTTTTCACCCCTACATTCTTTTCATCCCTACGTTCCTTACATCGCTTCATCCCTTATATCCCTACATTCCTTACATCTCTTTATCCCTTACATCTCTGCATTCTTTTCATCCCTACATTCCTTACATCTCTTTATCCCTTACATCTCTGCATTCTTTTCATCCCTACATTCCTGACATCGCTTCATCCCTTATATCCCTACATTCCTTACATCTCTTTATCCCTTACATCCCGACATTCCTTACATCTCTTCATCCCTTACATCTCTGCATTCTTTTCATCCCCACATTCCTTTCATCTCTTCATCCCTTACATCCCTGCATCCCTTACATGCCTGTATCCTTTACATCCTTGTATCACTTATATTCCTGCATTCCATACATCCCACTAAGGCCTGCGATTTTATAAAAATTTAGTTCCTTTTTTCGCCACCAGAGGGCGCTGATTCGCCATCGAAATTTTAGTTCACATTTTTGCCGCCAGAGGGCCAAAATTGGTGCATGGTTTAGTTCTTTTTTCCAAAACCAGATGGCGCTGATTCGACATCGAAATTTTAGTTCACATTTTTGCCACCAGAGGGCCAAAATTGGTGCGTGGTTTAGTTCCTTTTTCCGAAACCAGATGGCGCTGATCCGACATCGAAATTTTAGTTCACATTTTTGCCGCTAGAGGGCCAAAATTGGTGCATGGTTTAGTTCCTTTTTCCGAAACCAGATGGCGCTGATTCGACATCGAAATTTTAGTTCACATTTTTGCCGCCAGAGGGCCAAAATTGGTGCATGGTTTAGTTCCTTTTTCCAAAACCAGATGGCGCTGATTCGACATCGAAATTTTAGTTCAAATTTTTGCCGCTAGGGGGCGCTGTTTTTCGAAATTTTCGCAAAATTCTAACTTACCTTTACTTACCTTTACTCGAAGCAGTCTTTATAATATATTTATTATAAGGGATGCAGAGATGTAAGGAATGTAGGGATGAAAAGGGTGTAGGGATGAAAAGAATGTAGGGATAAAAAGAATGCAGGGATGTAAGGGATGGAGAGATGTAAGGAATGTAGGGATGAAAAGGGTGAGGGGATGAAAAGAATGTAGGGATAAGAAGAATGCAGGGATGTAAGGGATGCAGAGATGTAAGGAATGTAGGGATGAAAACAATGTTGGGGTGAAAAGAATGTAGGGATAAAAAGAATGCAGGGATGTAAGGGATGGAGAGATGTAAGGAATGTAGGGATGAAAACAATGTAGGGATGAAAAGGGTGTAGAGATGAAAAGAATGTAGGGATAAAAAGAATGCAGGGATGTAAGGGATGCAGAGATGTAACGAAACAAGGGTTGTAAAGGAATTCGGCAGGGGTCCGGGGCTGGGGCCCCGGTCTCCACTGCACGCGGCCCGAGGAATGACGGCATCGGGTGTGGCCCCCGATGTCGGCGGAATTTGGCACATGGCGGAGGGTCAAAGTACCCTCCCTACCGCCCTAGTGCAGGCCACCGTGGTGGTTTTAGTGGGTAAAAATCCCACACTACCCCCGGCCCCTCCCCAGGGGGGCTGAAGGTGTCTTTCTGAAGATTTCCACCACGTTAAAAAAAAAAAAAAAAAAAACTTATTTAAGGGTTGCAGGAAAGTAAGAAATGCAGGAATGTAAGGAATGCTGGGATGGAAGGAATGCTGTGATGTAAGTGATACTGAGATGGCCTTGGCCTATAATAAGGGATAAAATTATATAAACAACTGAAAATAAAATAAATGGGGTCCTCGGCTGAGACCCAGAAGAGGGATATAACCATAAATGTTATTCCCCTTCGATGAGGTTATTTAATAAGCAAAAAAAAATAAATGAAGTAAATTAAACAAACCCTGGAAAAAAATTAAACTTACTGCGCCCTCTTCATACGGACCTGATATCATATTGGGGTGTCACGGACCCCGAAGCAACTAGCGAAATATAAGAACGAAAAACGAACAAATCGTGAAACCCACTTGTTCGAAGTAGTGATGGGTACGACAGGATCTGTAGCACATGGGCACTACAATTATTTATTATAAAACACACTAGTAAATAATTAAGAAGTTAATCACTCACAAACAATGAAAATGATATATTTGTAAATCACAAACGATTTCCAATCAATTACCGTTATGAGGTGTCACAAAATCTGTTTATTATAAAATATTACTAAAATGTTTCGGCTCACATCATGATTTAAATAAAATTGCTAATTACAAAACAATTAATTTGTCACAAATGTTACAAATAGACTCACAATCAAGCACAAACAGTTTAGAAACAAAATACACTGAGAAAAATTAAAAATAATCATATTTTATTATTCCTTCCGGCTAGCTTCATGTAGGTTACTAAAATTGTATTGTCGCGGGGTTCTAAGGACCCCGAAGCACCGGGGATGCTGCATTCTAAAACTATATTGTCTCGGGGTTCGAAGAACCCCGTGCACCGACGATTCTTCATACCTAAATTAAATTGTCTTGGGGTTCTAAAGACCCCAAGCACCGACGATTCTGTATGCCTAATTATATTGTCTCGGGGTTCTAAGAACCCCGTGCACCGACGATTCTTCATACCTAAATTAAATTGGCTTGGGGTTCTAAAGACCCCAAGCACCGACAATTTTATATGCCTAAATTATTTTGTCTCGGGGTTCTAAGAACCCCGTGCACCGACGATTCTTCATACCTAAATTAAATTGGCTTGGGGTTCTAAAGACCCCAAGCACCGACGATTCTATATGCCTAAATTATTTTGTCTCGGGGTTCTAAGAACCCCTTGCACCGACGATTCTGCATATCTAAATTATATTGTCTCGGGGTTCTAAAGACCCCAAGCACCGACGATTCTGTATATCTAAATTATATTTTCTCGGGGTTCTAAGGACCCCGTGGAAGTAGCGAAATATAAGAACGAAAAACGAACAAATCGGGAAACTTACTTGTTCGGAATAGTGATGGGTTTGAGCGGATCTAGCGAAATATAAGAACGAAAAACGAACAAATCGGGAAACTTACTTGTTCGGAATAGTGATGGGTTTGACCGGATCTAGCGAAATATAAGAACGAAAAACGAACAAATCGTGAAACTCACTTGTTCGGGATAGTGATGGGTACGACCGGATCTGAAGCACATGTGCACTACTTTTATTTATTATAATACAAACTTGTAAATAATTAAGAAATTATTCACACACAAACAATGTAAACGATATATTTGTAAATCACAAACGATTTCCAATCAAATACAGTTATCAGTTGTCACAAAATCTGTTTATTATAAAGAATTACTGAAATGTTTCGTCTCACATCATGATTGAAATAAAATTGCTAATTACAAAAGAATTAATTTGTCATAAATGTTAAAACTGGACTCACAATCAATCACAAACGATTTACAAACGAAATACACTAAAAAAAATTAAAAATAATCATATTTTATTATTCCTTCCGGGTAGCTTCATGTAGGTTACTAAAATTATCCTCGCGGGGTTCTAAGGACCCCGAAGCACCATGAATTCTGCATACTAAAATCATACTGTTTGGGGTTCTAAGAACCCCGAAGCATCTATGATTCTGCTTACCAAAATTATAGCGTCTGGGGTTTTAAAGACCCCCTGCACCGACGATGCTGTATACCTAAATTATACTGGCACGTGGTTCTAAGGACCCCTCGCTGTGATGATTCTACATACTAAAATTATATCATCTCGGGGTTCTAAGGACCCCGAAGCACCGATGTTTCTGCATACTAACATTATATCGTCTCGGGGTTCTAAGGACCCCGAAGCCCGTGACTGTGTATCGACATTATGGCTTCTGGGGTGTCAGGGACCCCGACCGAAATTAAGTAATGACATACATTGAATAACTAAGGTGATAGAAAAATTTAAGTCAATTAAATAAATGGCTGAGAAAAGAAATTACGAGCATTAAATAAATAACTCAGAAATGCAATCATGTAAATTAAATAATAACTCAGTTGCTTTTTTCAAATGATTTATTTACCAAAGTGCATGAAGTGAGTACAAGTTTGTCAAGCAATTACAATAATAATTGTTCAGTTTTGTGCTGTTTTTGACTGTTTTAAAAGAAAATAGAATCAAAGGATGTGAAAATTGGGTGTTTTCAGATGTCAGTTTGAGGTGCGGTAAAAGAATGACTGTTAAAACAGGCATGATTATCATACTGGCTGTGGTCTGGAACCCCCTAAATCATGACCCCTTGAAAACAAAGCATGTCCAGTCTTCTACATCTCTAGTCATTGATGTAGATCTAAACTCAGCTAGTGGTATGTAACGATAAGTTTTCAATAAATAGTATACACATTATGGATGCGAAATGTATAATAACAAAGCTTCCTCATCACATTCAGCAAAAATTGTGTCACACAAGACCACCCTATAGACAAGGAAAAAGATTAACATCCGTGAAGGTAGCATTGTGGACTTGTATCCTATTCTATATAAGTTTTAGGTGTTAAGAATTAAATTTTAAGTTGTATTGTGTAACT